TGCCATGGAGAGGACTAGTTTGCAACAACAAGGGGATGCCTAAATGGATCTTCATCCTAAGGTTGGCAATCCTAGATAGACTAGCCACCAAGGAAAGACTTGCTAGATGGGGTAAGCTGGATGATACATTGTGCTCTTTCTGTAAGAGAAGTAATGAAACAGTGCAACATCTTTTCTTTGAATGTGATGTCACATGGGAAATATGGCAGAAAATATTAATGTGGCAAGGGATAGTGAGAAAGAAGAAGCAGTGGCATGAAGAAATACAATGGGTAGTAGAGAAGGCAACAGGGAAGAGTGTGGGAGCTGAACTACACAGAGTTACAATGGCTGCAGTTGTCTATCATGTATGGCAGGCTAGAAACAGGAGTATATTTCAAAAGGAAAAATTCAGTGTGATTAAAATAGTTAAACTGGTAGTGCAAGAGATCCATGTACGAGCGCAAAGCTACAAAAAACTGGACAAGTACCTAAGCAATTTAAACTGGTACCCAGTTTAGCATAGAATGAAATTAGTAGTGCAGGGGATAGAGTAGTATCCTTTCGTTGGGGCTTCATGTCCAACAAAGGAGAATATAGACAATTAGTCTCGTGATGTAATCTGTAAATATTTACTTGGTAATAAAATCTTTTAATTACCAAAAAAAAAATTTGGGTCTCTTTAAAGCTTGGTTCATTTTGGAGTTTTGGACAGAGAATAACAAATTAACCTATAAGTCTTTCTTCCTAATTCAAATATTCAAGAAACAGACGTGATTCTTAGCAACGAAATTCTTAGCGCTAAGCTTCAACGAAATTCTTAGCAACGAAATTCTTGCAAGCAATTCCAATGAGAATTGTTAGAACCGTAGCAATGTAAATTTTTGCGGTTCTAAAGGAGTATAGTGAAATCTTTTCCAAGAATATTATACGGATTTTTCCTTACTCCAGGTATGTTAATGCTATCCCTTCTTTCTTTTCGGCATGATCCGTACGATACAAACGAAACGAGAAAAGGCACAACTTTCATAAATGACTCTATTAATAGAAGTATTAGAGGTGCCTATATTCTTAAATTCCCATGTGTCTTATTATTTTATCATCTGTTCATGGTTCTCAGAAAAATACGTAAGTTGAAAAAGTTTACTTCATGATATTAATCAAAAGCATAATGGTCTTATGACATTCCGAGAGATTTATTGACATACTTCTCATGCACTGCATTCATTTATACATGTACATTGATCCATGACCAGATGGTGTTATATACGTGTATTTATATGTATATATATGTATATGGGATATGGAAAAACGTTACGACGTTATATGCGCACCACCACCTGATCAGCTGGTATACGTTGATGATTTGCCCATAGTGGCCGAGATGATATGATGGGATGCCCTCAGAGGCTTGATGATGTTATGAACGCATATACCCATGCATGGTATGACATTTATACGCATATGCACGACATTATAATATTAAATGATTCATAAGGTTATTCAGATATACATGTTGAGTCTTTTACTTCATGTTTCTCTCATGTCTACTAGTTACTGATTTTCATTCCTTACATACTCGGTACATTATTTGTACTGACGTCCTTTTTGCTTGGGGACGCTGCGTTTCATGCCCGCAGGTTCTGATAGAGAGGTTGAGAGTCCTCCAAGTAGGCTATCAGCTCAGCGAAAGGTGTTGGTGCGCTCCATTTGCTCCGGAGTTGCTTCTTTGGTCAGTATGATTAGTACAAGTATTGATTGGTATGGCGGGACCCTGTCCCGACCTTTATGATATTATGTATTCTTAGAGGCTTGTAGACATATATCATGTATACGGATACTTGTATGGTCTTGTTGGCTAATGTTTCGAGTGTATAAAAAAAATCATGCCGGCCTTATAGGCCCGTACTTCATATGTATAAGTTTGTATTGCCTCATGCTTTACTCCGGTTCATTTACCTATGATAGAGTGATATGAAAGATACGTTATGTTGGTACTCGGTTGAGTAAGGTACCGGATGCCCGTCGCGGCCCATCGGTTTGGGTCGTGACAAAAGTGCACTACCTTTTGACTTTACTTTAAAAGGACCACACAAATCAGAGTGTACTAGCTCCAATAAATCGGGCTTTCTTGAGGGAGGATGGCTATGAAAGGAAATCCTTTTCTGTTTGCCAGCTAAACAATTGATACACCTTTTCAGTTTTGCTTGTTTCACTCCAGAAAGCAAACTTTTCTTTGCCAAACACGTAATCCCCCTCTCGCTCATATGACTCAATCTTCTGTGCCACAATTGTGATAAAATGTCACTTTCCACTAGATTTATGGAATCATTAAGAATAGAGCCTTGTGTCACATATAAATAACCAGACTTGACTCCTCGAGTCACTACTAACAAGCCCTTGGTGAGCTTTCATTGGCCATTAAAGAGGCTATTATGGTAACCTTCATCGTCTAATCTTCCCGCGGAGATCAAATCGAAAGGAAAGTCTGGAGCATGCTTGACATCTTGAAGAACTAACATTGAACCATTATTAGTTTTCAAATAAACTGTGCCAACACCAAACACTTTAACTTCACTGGCATTGCCCATATTTAACACTCTAGAATCAATAGGAGTATAAGATGAGATTTTTTTTCTTGGTGTGACATATGAGGTAGCTCTAGAATCTTCTATCCAGCTCGTCTCATGGGATACCAAATTGATGACATTTTCATCATAAGCAAAAAGAAGGTCATCTTGAACAATAGCAGTAACATTGTTCTTGTTATTTTTAACTTTCTTTCCTTCTCTAATGTCTTACAACAACTTGCGGCAAAACCTTTTGATATGTCCTTTCTCGCCACAACAGTTGCATGTAATATTATGGTATTTGGACTTTTTTACCTCTATTCCACGAGCCTCTTGTTCTATCTCTCCCCCGATCTTCTGTAACCAAGATATCTGCTTGTGAGGATGAACCCTAAGATTTTCTCCTTACTTCCTCGTTCAGCACACCACTCTTGGCATATTCCATGGTCACCTACCTCCAGGAGCTGAATTTGTCAAAGAAACACGAAGAGTTTCCCAAGAGTCAGGCAGAGTATTAAGAAGCCAAAGTCCTTGTATCTCATCATCAAAATTAACTCCTATTCCAGACAGCTGATCAAGGACGCCTTAAAAATTATTTATGTGATCAAGGCTAGGGCTGCCTTCCTTGTATTTAAAGGTCATCAATTTCTTTATCAGGAACAACTTGTTGTTCCCAGTTTTTTGAAGCATAAAGAGTCTCTAGCTTTTCCCACAATGATCTCGCATGTGTCTCATTCACAATATAATTGCGAATATTATCTTCAACCCATTGTCGTATATATCTACATACTTGTTGGTGTTCGAAATCCCAATCTTCATTAGATATAGTCTCGGGTTTATGAGCCGCAAAAATGGGTAGATGCATCTTCTTCACGAACAACAAATCTTTCATCTTACTCCTCCAAACATTATATCCCATTTAAACATACCATCTTGCTCATATTCGCCTCTATTCCGTAACAACCCGGATAAATAACCAAGGTTCTGATACCACTGTTATGTCGAGGAAGAGGCAAACCCAAAAATAAAGAAGATAAAGAACACCAAATTGTAACGTGGAAAACACTTCAAATCGAAGGCAAAAACTACTGGATCACAAAGATCCAAAAAATCCACTATAACAATAAGAGAGTTACAAAAGTTCTCTAAATTGGCTACACAACAAGTTCCAAACATGAAGCAACAATAGCAATAAGAGCAACAACTAATCAATCGAAGAAAGAGGAGAATCCACAAAAACGAAGCTGTTGTTCGAGGCTCGAAATCAGATGCTACAGACCTCCAAATCTGATCTCCACCGTTCAAATCAAAGACTAAGATGTTACGAATACTTAGTTAAAATTTCAGCCCGATCCAACAATTAACGACTCGGAAAATATGATTTGAAGTTGGCTGGTCGGAATAAAATCTGCAGCAAAACAAATACTTTTCTTCTCTCTTCTCTCTTGATGAAAGCTCTCTCAGAAACCACTCTTATGTGCTTAAGTCTTTCAAAGACTTGTATCAATGAGCATAGAACAATTCTCTAAGATTGTCCTCTTTATAGATCATGAGTGGTGCTTTTTCTTAAAGCCAAAACCCACTCAAAATAGGAATAAACACCGAATCCAATTCCAAATAGGATTAGTGGAGACCAAAAGAGAATAGGATTAGGCAATTGGACATTTGGCTGGACAACATGGGCATGTGCCCAACAAATATGACTCTACTAGTTTTTTTTTTTTTTTTTTTTTAAAAAAACTTCTATTAAAATATTACTCATAATAAATCTTAGTTTATATTCTATAATTATCTTAACAAAGCTTGATATAACAAAGCTAAGTTTTCACCCTTTCCTTATCACGTTGAGAAACCAGATTTCTCTAGGATGCTATAGGTCACGTGAGAAGCGTCCTAATAGAGAATTTTCTCGTAACTAAATTTTGAAAGTATTATCCAACAAAAGGTAACTTATACTTTATGGATAGCGTAAAATTTTTTGTACTACTGGATTATACGTTATATGATTATCATATAAATTTATTTGTAATTATCTTATATATAATTGACCTAATTATGTAAAAGATTTGCAGTAATTTATGAATAGAATTTACACTCATACCTTATTACTCAACTTTTGTAGTTGAATGAATTGTAAATTCTAAATTCTAATAAAGGAAAAGGATTTAGTACCAAATTTATTGAGTTTTATACAAGATTGTAATCGAGAGAAAGAAAAGGTAAGAACTCGTTAAGAAAATAAAAAGATAGACAAAAAAAAAAAAAAAATTCGTTTGATTGAGGTCCCCAAATACACTCTTCATATACTCTTTGTTCTTTTTCTCCTACTACTACACTATGCAACCTAAACTTGTATGAAAAAATACTACCTTCTCAATAATCTAAAGTGATTAGTAGTAATAATCTATCAACTTATCTTTCTTTATTTCTATCAACTCGATCATCAATTATTCATAGTTCATTACGGAGTTGATATATCATATTGGCATAATTATTTACCAAAGTAACGGCGTTGCTAGTCATCTCCTTCACCGTTGTTACACGATCACATACGTTCGATTTCAATGGCTCAACATCCTTAAATACAAGCGTACAAGTCACGTTGTCAATATTGGTCAAGGCTGCACTCATCCATGTCTGAACCTTATTAATCTGAAACCCTAACGACTCACCTCCACAGTCAAACTCAATCAACTTTTCCATCTGTGTAAATGAGTCACGTATTTGGTTTACGGCGTTATATAGGGCTTGTATCTGCGCTTCATAGCCGGCTACGTTGGAAATTATATAAGATGCCAAACTCTTGGTTTTGCGTAGGCTCTTCAAGATGGAGTAAAAAGCGAGCTGCCTCGGGTCTTGCTGGACCGCGTCGGCGTAAATTTGAAAGGAATTGAAGCAGGTTTCGGGATATAACGTATTTTGACAACTGGAGTGGATATAATCTATGTCTTCCTGACTTGGACCGGGCCTACGGAGTTGCAACTTCGCGATCGCGGGGACAAGTCTGAGGTGAAGGAGAAATACGGCGGCCGAGAAGATGAAGAAGAGAGAATTTGGACGTGGGGTTTTCATGGTTTATCTGCTGTAGCTTTTCTTTGAACTTGCGGAGAAAGCAATATGAAGAGTTTGTTTTAATTATTTCTTGTTTTGGTCTTGGGGAGAATTGAAATGACTTTGCGCCTTGAAAAACTCAAATCTATATGGTTTTTGTTACTAATAATTGACTGTCCTAAGAACCATAGGAAACTTGTAGTCATAATTCTAGTTAGACTACATCTCTTTTTGTCATATTAATTAGTGTTTATTTGAAAGTCTTATTATTTTTCATTTTCTTCTTCAGCAAGAATCCTCCTTTTCTTCTAGTATTGTGTAACAATTTGTAAGTACTACTTAAGAATTTACTGTCGGAAAGAGTTCAATTTTTGAATAATTCTTGACCATTAAATATAGGGAAGAACTCCTCCTTTCCGATCTTCAAAATTTACAATTCATATATGTTTACCCTTAAAATTGGATAACAATTAAACTTATAATGTGGTTTTAAGGACACGTGATTTCACCTAATACCAATTGATAAATGTGAAGATTAGTGATAGAAATTAATAATTAAGTAAAGCAAACCAATGTTGAGACGGAATTCAACCCTCGAGTTAGAATGCCCTCGAGCTGATTGATACCAGAACAAGTAAAAATAAGGCAAGCTGATGAACAAGAGAGTATAAGCTAAAAAGAGTGTTATATTGCTTTGGTCTACGAGAATGTAAGTGCCTTACAAATGATTGGAACCCCTCTTTATATAGTAGTGGAATTCTAATTATGGTATAACTCTAATTACAGAAGAAAATCCCATGATTAGCTAATTAACCGTCCTAGATTTGATCCGTTCCGAGATTTCCGCCATGATCTTCGACCAGTCACTGATATCTCGCCTTTCTGTTATTATGCTATCTTCGATCTTGCTCGATGTCTGTATCATTTGATCTCAATCACTACCGGCCTCGATCTTGACATGTACCTCAAATCTCGAATTCGGTATCTTGTCCTCGTGCCTTGATCTGATCTATTACGGGATCGATCTTTGATCCTTCACACTGGTCTCGGTAAATTAGTAAAATTGGGTGGGGCCGATTTTAACCGTATACAGATAGTCCCCTCGTGTTTTGGAGTGTAATGACAAGAAACGAATTGAGACTTCGATCCTCGAGCTGTCATGACGTCATTCCCGTAACGTAAGCGGCAAATATGACCGAAATGTTCCGTCGGTGCAGTTCCCCAAGCATTTAATGCGTGCCAGTTGATGGTCGGCCACTAGTGGTTTCGAACCGTCGCCGTGAAACCCATTAATAGCTCCTTTTCTCATTGATTCAAACTTTACCTTCAATTTATTTTAATCTCCAAAGCTTTTTACATCTTTTAAGTTTTTCTGCTCTGCAAAATCTTCAGGTTTTGTTGTCAACCCTTTCTCAAAACACAAAGTCTTATTTTCTTCTTCTTTCTTCAAACCTAAACCCAAAATGGCAAAAACATCAAAAACTGTGCCGGAGAAAGAAATCGCCTCTTCATCAAAGTCCGTCGGCGTCGCCGCCATGGAGGAACATCCTTTTGCGGATTTTGTTCCGACGAAGTGTGCCACTGCTGCAGATTTCAAGGTGGAGAACACACCCTCAACACCGGGCCGATGTGAACCCATGTCGAAATATATGTGTACGATTACCGAACGCCTCCTCGAGAAGGTGAAAGCGGAGTGCAACAGGTTAGGCAAGGACGTCATGGTGCCTAGCCCCGAAGAATCCATCACTACTTACAAGGAGGGGTATTTGACTGTCTACATTTACACCTTCACAATAAGTCCCTCGGACCCTATCATCATTGCCTTTTGTAAGAGGTACGATGTCACTCTGGGCCAAATCCACCCATCGTTTTGGAGGGTCATGCTCCTCCTCCGATTTTTTCGTCAGTAAGATCGAGGGGTATCCTTTTGCCCTCGATCACCTCATGCGCTTCTATGGCCCTCGACTTTATCGGGGAGGCATGATCAAACTTTATCGCCGAGCCACCAAAACCCCGTTCTCAAGCATAGACGAGGATCGAGACCGAGGTTGGATGGGCAGGTTTGTCCGAATAAAGACTTCGGATCTAATCCCCGCCGGAGATATGCCGTTCCCTGAAAAGTGGAACATGAAACGTAAGCATTGCTTGACCTTTCGTGTATCTATTATTGCCGTTCAGCTTTCTTGTTTTCCCCTCATCTAAGTTCTTGTTCTGCAGTCAAGGCCGTTATGCCGGAAGTGATCCCTAACCTGAGATAATGGGTCGAGGATTGGTGTCGCAAAAACCTTATTCCGAGCGTGCTTGGATGGAGTTGTCAAGGGGCCGATGGTAGGCTCGAAACCATGGTAATGTTTTTTCCTTGGCAAGGTTTCCATTCAGACTTTGTTATTTGTACTTCTCATCTTTTCCATATTGTAGGCCTCGGGAAGGACGTGCCAATGAGGCCCCCCTCTGCTGAAGAAAAGACACTCTTTTCCCAGTCTGCCCCGAAGCAGGGCAAAGAGAGGAAAAGGAAAGAGGCTCCGAGTTCCTCAAGCCCGGAGAAGAAAAGGCCGGCCAGGAGGCCCCGTAAGCCTAAGGGGGATGTTATCCACGTAACTCTAGAGTTCGTCCACCATCTTTCGGATGAGACCGAAGATGAGGATGAAGAAGAAAATTCCGGATTGGTGCCTCGTGTGCAGTCTGGCATCGAGGTTCAAAGAACCACTGGACGGGCGGGAGCCGAAGTTGATTTGTCCTGGTCTGATGAGCCCGAGCCAACAAAAGTTGAAGATGCCGCACCTCGAGATGGGGAGGCCATCGAGGAGGCGATCGAGGCTGGGTAGAAACCGAGCTCGAGGCTCCCCGGAACGAAGATGATTCCTCTATAGACCTACTTGGGGCAATAGTGATCAGAGACTCCTCCTCATTCCCTCCAGTTCCGGATTCGATGATACGTGACGCTCAGGCTGCAGAGACTTGTCACGGAAAGGGGGCCCACGGAGGGTAAGATTTTTTCCGTAGCTATTTTGCTAATGTGGAAGATATCACCGGTTTGGGTGATTTGGACATACCAAGGAAGAGATTGAATGAGGCTTCCTCGAGCTATAAGCTAACCAATTTTCGGCTCCCAGCATTGACCCCGATCGAAAGCGACCTCTTATCATCTCGATCCCAAAAGATACACAAGTTTTATCTGCCCCCGTAGGGGTGGCAAGTTACCTTCGATGCTTTGTCACTGAGGACGATCAAGACAAAATGAATGTAGTGGATGTTGCCTGCTTGTTCAACGAGGCCCAACATGCTCTGAATCGGGTAAGTTCAAGGACCATTGTCTGTTCTTGACTTTTGACTTGTGGATATCTCTAATATTTCTTCCTTTCTTGCAGGCTTCGGTGTTGCATCACGGGGCCTTTCTTCGAGCCCGAGAGGAACGCAAGGTCGAGGTCCAGGGTCTCACTAAGAAGTGCAACACTTACAAGATTCTCAGTGAGAAGCTTCAGGTGGACCTGATGGAGGCTCAAAACACGCATGAAGAGATGGCCGAGCAGGTATTCCAATTGTTCATAATAGTGAGGACGAGTCGGAGATATCGACGAACAATCTCATTCTGCAGGCTCGACAAAGGCTCGAACAGATCAAGGGCTTTCAAGGGAAAATAGACGAAGTGCGAGCTGAAGTCGATCGGTTCAAGGGATGTATGGACATCTTGGCTGCACAAAAGGAGACCGTTCAAGCAGAGCTGGATTCTGCCAAGTCACAGCTTCGATATGCAAGGGATAATGCCTCTGTCCAGGCGAAGAAGGTCGAGGAGCTCGAATCCAATTTAGCCAATCTGTCCAAGGAGCTCGAGGTTGCCAGATCCGAAGTAGCCGCTGCCAATATTAAGGCTCAGGCGCGGATCAATACAGAGTTGATGCCGAAGCCACCCTCGGGCAGGCCAGGGGGATGGTTGATCATTTGAAGTGGCAGGCTCGAAGGGAGGTTCTCGAGGGGATCCTTGCTCAAAGTGTCGACATATCTGTTGAACTCGAGATCGCCAAGGATGAGGAAGTAAAGGCTCGGAAGTTAGCATTTCCCGATGAGGATTCCGAGGATGAGGGCGGATCTGATGGAGATGACTCATTGGGTGAAGAAGCTGCTCCCGAAGAAGACTAGGCCTTTAGGATTAGTAGTGTTTCTTTTTAAGGCTGTTTTGGCCTTTGTAAAGAGTTTTTGATCGGGCCATGTGGCCCTTGTAAGAAAAACTTTGGTATATAAAAATTTTCCTTTCCTTTCTGAATTTGTCATTTTTTTCCTCTTGTTTTGTCTTTGTTTTATTGATGCCTTACGAGGTTGCATTCATAGGTTCGAGGTCTAGGCGATTTTGGACCGAAACTGAACTAGTGTCGAGTGAGTACTTGCTCGAACTCGAAGTAGGATAACCCTTAGGTTTTTATTGAGTGAGGATGATTCCTCGAACTCAAAGCAAAAGATTGCCCTTAGGCTTTTGTATTAGGCCGATGTGGCCTTTGTAGAACGATTGTTTTAATATACATAAGGCTTTCTACCCCTTTTGGCTTAGAAAGTTAATCGCATAAAAATTTGTCATGCCTGAACATGAGATAAATCTGTATTCATATTCCATTGTTTTTGAGGACTGATGATATCGAAACCCTTTGTTTCGTAATGCCTTAGTATGAAACAGAGAAATGGTTCGAGAGTTCGAACAATTCGGTACCCCTTAGGGTTTTCGAGGGTTGATGTGATCGAAACCGTTTGCAATTTTGCCGAGGGTAGCCTTTTCTAAACCGGTTTTATAAAAATATTCGAAGGCCTATTTTATTACGGAATTCGGACGTCTCCGAACTGTATATGTTTGGCCGTAGCCTTTAGCTCGGGATTTGCCTCTTGGGCTCGTTTCCCTGTTACACTCCGAACTTGTTCAAAGTGTCAGTCCCCGAGTGGGGCGGCCATGGCCTATAAAATCGAGGGTTGCCTTTTTAAGGTCTTACGATCTCGACGTCCTAGTAATTCGATCATGTCGATTTTTCGGACGGCAGTCCCTGAGTGCGGGGTTAGTTGTTCGAACTTTAGTTGTGATCGGCCCTTGAGCCAGTTTCAACAATAGATCATATATACGAAATTATAATGTAAAATTTTCTAAGGCATGAAATATTTGGCAAGGAAAAAAATACTTCTCTTAACAGATGATTATACATGCATACATGTTCAATGTTAGGGCTCGAATAATCTACATGGCACGGTTCGTTCGACCGTTTGGCCCTTACAAAATTTGCCTATCGAGAACCTATTGACATGAAGTACTTTCCTTAAAACGTTCGAGGGTGATGCCCCCCCAGTATTGGAGGTTGATTGTAAAAAAGCCTCGGATACTATTGAATTGCTCTAAGTTAGCACGAACAATGGTTGCCTCATTAAAAACCTCGCCGGAAAAACCCATTTGCGACAAAAACCGGTCTAAGGGAAAAAGAGTGCAACGCATGCTTTCAGACCTAAGAACTTTGTGTTGAAGAATCCCTCGATGTCTTCGATCGAACACCTACAATTGGTTAACATAAAATATAAATAAAAATGGAGGAGGTCGTACCTTAGCAGTAATATCGTTTGAGGAGTGATACATTCCAATTGTTTGGTAATTGCTCGTCGTTCGTCGTGCCAAGTTTGTAAGATCCTTTCCCGACGATATCGATGACTTGATATGGTCCCTCCCAGTTTGGGCCAAGTTTTCCTTCGTTCGGGTTTCGAGTGTTGAGGGTGACTTTCCTCAGAACTAAGTCCCCGATTTTAAAGTGTCGAAGGTTGGCTCGTACTCCAGCTTGGTAGTTTCCACCGCCTGTCAAGGGTTGAGCCCTGGGATTTGACGGCGGACTCGGTTATAATACCTTTCGATCCACTGTTTCTATGCGGCCATTCGAATAAGGGTGGCTTCCCGTCTTTCATCTAGTAATTCGAGACTTGTATTCATAGCCTCGTGATTTGACTCTTCCGTTGCATGCTGAAACCTAAGGCTAGTTTCTCCGACTTCGACTGGGATCAAAGCTTCGGCACCGTAGACTAAAGAGAATGGTCTTTCCCCCGTACTGGATTTCGACGTTGTACGGTATGCCCAAAGGACCTCGGGCAGTATTTCTCATCATTTTCCTTTAGCGTCGGTCAACCTTTTCTTTAGATTCTGAATGATGGTCTTGTTTGTCGATTCGGCTTATCCGTTCCCACTAGGATGATATGGTGTCGATAAGATCCTTTTAATCTTGTGGTCTTCGAGGAATTTTGTCACTTTGCTGCCGACGAATTGCTTCCCATTATCGCATACAATCTCGGCAGGCATCCCGATTCGACATATCATGTGGTCCCAAATGAAGTCTATGACTTCTTTTTCTCTGATTTTTATGAAGGCCTGTGCTTCAACCCACTTAGAAAAATAGTCAGTCATAAACAAAATGAATTGAGCTTTTCCTGGGGCCGATGGGAGGGGGCTGACAATGCCCATTCCCCATTTCATGAACGGCCATGGGGATAAGACTGAATGGAGTTGCTCTCTGGGTCGGTGATTCACGACGCATACCTTTTGCATTTGTCGCATTTTCGAACAAACTTTTTTGTATCTTTTTCCATATCGGCCCAATAGTATCCCGCTCTGATGACTTTGTGAACCAATGACTCGGCACCGGAATGATTTTCGCAAGGGCCCTTATGAATTTCTCGTAGAACGTAGTCGGTGTCTCTTGGTCCTACACATATCGCCAATGGTCCATCAAACATTCTCCTATACAGTGTTCCATCCTCGGCCAATGTGAACCGTGCGGCCTTCGTCCGTAGAGTCCTTGATTCCTTAAGATCCGATGGAAGCTTCCCGTTCTTTAGGTATTAGATATACTTATTCCTCCAATCCCAGGTTAGACTTGAGGAGTTTATTTTGGTGTGTCCTTCTTCGATTACTGACCTCGAAAGTTGTACGATAGTCCCCGAGCTAAGTACGTCGTCTTCGATCGATGACCCCAAATTTGCAAGGGCATCGGCCTCGCTATTTTGTTCTCGAGGTACGTGCTGTAGGGTCCATTCGTTAAATCGATGTAGAGACACTTGTAGTTTTTCCAAGTACCTCTGCATGATCTTTTCGAACCTCGAAAGTCCCGTTGACTTGATTTACCACAAGTTGGGAGTCACACTTGGCCTCGATGAACTCCGCTCCCAAGCTGCTAGCTAGCTCGAGACCTGCAATCATGGCCTCATACTCGGCCTCATTGTTAGTTAATTTTGAAGTTGATCTCGATCCCCCGATTTGATACCATAAAGCCGAGGAACTTGCCCGATCCGACTCCGAATGCATATTTCTTCGGGTTGAGCTTCATGTTGTACTTTCTTAGTATGTCGAAGGTCTCCTGCAAATGTTTTAAATGGTCCTCTGCTCGCAGGGACTTAACTAACATATCATCAATATAAACCTCCATTGATTTACCTATTTGTTCTTCGAACATTCGATTTACTAGGCGTTGATAAGTAGCACCAACATTTTTTAGTCCAAACGACATTACGTTATAACAATAGGTTCCATATTTAGTGATGAACGAAGTCTTCTCCTGATCCTCCGGGTTCATTTGTATTTGATTGTACCCAGAGTAGGCATCGAGAAAACTAAGGATCTCGTGGTCGGCTATGGCGTCGATCATGCGATTGATATTCGGCAAAGGAAAGGAATCTTTAGGGCATGCCTTGTTTAAATCCTTATAGTCTATGCACAATCTAAGTTTATTTCCCCTTTTAGGGACTACAACTACGTTGGCTAATCATTCGGGATATTTTACCTCCCGAATGGATCCTATTTTGAGAAGTATTTTTACCTCATCCTTAATGAATGCATGTTTTACCTCGGACTGGGCCCTTCTCTTTTGCTTTACCAGGCGAAACTTCGGGTCTAAGCTCAGTCGATGCGTAGTGATCTCCGGTGGGATCCCTGTCATATTTAGGTGGGACCAAGCAAAACAATCCATGTTATCTAAAAGGAATTGAACGAGTTTTTTCCTGAGCTTGGGGGTTAACCTCGTGCCCAGGTATACCTTTCGATCGGACAGATGCTCGATCAGTATGATTTGTTCCAGCTCTTCGACCATTGACTTCGTTGCATCAGAATCATTGGAGATTATGAAGGTTCAAGGTATCATATAATCATCATCCTCGAAGTTTTTCTGCTCCTCCGATCGGGCCGAGGCCGGTGACTGTGGTTGCTATTTGACTTCTTGCTTTCCCTTTGACTCCGATCCCTTTGTTGATGAAAGTGTCGATACCGGTACTACTTTGTCGATTGCAAACATTTATTTGGCGGCGGGTTGTTCACCGTACACCGTTTTGATTCTTTCTGATGTTGGGAACTTCAGGACTTGATGAAGCATCGAGGGCAGTGCCCTCATGTTATGAATCCAAGGCCTTCCGAGCAGCACGTTGTACCTCATGTCACCTTCGATTACATGGAACTTTGTTTCTTGGATAGTCCCGACCACACTTACTGGCAAAATGATTTCCCCTTTGGTGGTTTCACTTGCCATGTTGAAGCCGTTAAGTACTCGAGCTGCGGGCACGATTTGATCTTGGAGGCCAAGTTACTCTACGACCCTTGATCGAATAATCTTTGCCGAGCTACCTGGATCAATCAAGACAAGTTTAACTTGAATTTTATTCATAAGGATAGATATTACCAATGCGTCGTTGTGAGGTTGTTCGATCCCTTCTACATCCTCGTTGTTGAAAGACAAAGTTTCTTCTGGTTAGTAGTCCCGAGTTCGCTTTTCCCTTGTGATTGTCACCTTGGTGCGTTTAAATATAGGTCCTTGAGGAACATCGACTCCTCCAACGATCATGTGAATCACATGCTGTGACTCTTCCTGCTCGTTCTGTCTGTTTGAATCTCTATTTTTGAAGTGGTTTTTGGCTCGATCACTTAAGAATTCTCGAAGGTGACCCTCGTTGAATAGACGGGCTACCTTTTACCTCAACTGTCTGTAGTCTTCGGTTCTATGACCATGGCTACCATGGTATTTGCATACTTGATTAGGGTTCCTTTGAGCTGGATCGGTCTGTAAGGGTCTGGGCCATATAGTATCCTTGATCTGTCCAATGGCTGATACTATACCCGACGCATTTATTCATGAGCCCTCGGTAGTTCTGTCCTCGATCATTCATTCGATCATTTTGAGCGGGATTATGCCCTGGGCCGCTATTTTTATGATCTGCGCTTTATGGTTGATACCGATCTATGTTCGATCGGGGTTCTCTATCGATGTCCCTTTGAATTATACCGACGGGCCTATTTGGGTAGATGGAACCGGAAGGGATTCCCTATTGATCATCCTCGACCCTAATCTTTGACTCACAGCTGGATATTCAATTAAATTCTGCTTTAGTTGTCGTGATACTATCGAACTCCGTTTGTTCATACATTGAGTAAAAGCCTGGACAGCCCAATCATCTATGACCGGGGGTAGGTCCATGCGTTCTATCTAGAACCGAGATACGAATTCCCTCAACATTTCGTTGTCCTTTTGTTTCACTTTGAAGAGGTCTTACTTCCTAATCCCAACCTTTATTGCTCCGGTGTGTGCCTTCACGAAGGAATCTGCAAGCAGGGTGAAGGAATCGATGGAATTGGGCCGCAAATTGTGGTACCATATCATTGGCCCTTTCGATAAAGTTTCTCCAAACTTTTTCAATAGAACGGATTCAATCTCATCATCTTCTAAGTAATTCCCCTTTATTGCGCATGGATAAGAAGTGACATGCTCATTAGGGTTGGTGGTTCCATTGTATTTGGGAATTTCTGGCATGCGGAATTTTTTCGCGATGGGCTTCGGAGCCGCACTTGGAGGGAAAGGCTTCTGAACGAACTTCTTTGAATCCAAACCCTTTAGAACCGGTGGTGCCCCCGGTATTTGGTCAACCCGGGAGTTTTACGTTTCTACCTTTTTGTCATTTGCCTCGATTTTTTTCTCACCCGATTCAATCCGTTTAGTGAGCTCCTCGAGGATTTTCATAATGGCGTGGTCAGCCCCTGATTCATTGGCGTTCAATCTCTCCGGTGCTGGTTCGAATCTATGAACAATTTCTTGTGATGTTTCAAGCTCAATTCTGCTTGGTGCTCGATTCTGATTTGGAGTTGTGCTATCGCAGCTTGCTGAGTCTGCAACATCTCGAATATCATTCGAAGGCGAATTCCGCCTTCTTCACCGCTCTGTGCGTTCTGATCAGCTGCTCGAGTATCTCTGCGGATGCTATTTTCAGGGTCGATGCCCAAATTCCCATTAATGGCCATATGGGAGCTGACATCGGCTGGGTTTACGACCGGCGGTCAATCGGGGTTGACTGGAGGTACTCCTTTTCCAGGGCGGCTACGTTTTTGTTCTCGCCATGAAGACCAAGGCCATTGTCTGTGTGAGTGGGTACTACTTGAGAGTTTGACATGTTGATTCCTAAAATCAATAACACTTACGAGAACAATCGTAAAGCATGTGTGTTACGAGAATTAATACCAGGCAATCACTATTATCCTTAGCCACACGGTGGGCGCCAAACTGTTTACCCTTAAAATTGGATAACAATTAAACTTATAATGCGGTTTTAAGGACACGTGATTTCACCTAATACCAATTGATAAATGTGAAGATTAGTGATAGAAATTAATAATAAAGTAAAGCAAACCAATGTTGAGACGGAATTCAACCCTCGAGTTAGAATCCCCTCGAGCTGATTGATACCAGAACAAGTAAAAATAAGGCAAGCTAATGAACAAGAGACTATAAGCTAAAAAGAGTGTTATATTGCTTTGATATGCGAGAATGTAAGTGCCTTACAAATGATTGGAACCCCACTTTATATAGTAGAGGAATTCTAATTATGGTATAACTCTAATTACAGAAGGAAATCCCATGATTAGCTAATTAACAGTCCTAGATTTGATTTGTTCCGAGATTTTCGCCATGATCTTCGACCAGTCAGAGATATCTCGCCTTTCTGTTATTATGCTATCTTCGATCTTGCTCGATGTCTGTCTCATTTGGTCTCAATCACTACCGGCCTAGATCTTGACAGGTACCTCGAATCTCGAACTCGGTACCTTTTCCTCGTGCCTTGGTTTGATCTATCACGGGATCAATCTTCGATCCTTCACACTGGTCTTGGTATATCAGTAAAATTGGGTGGGCTCGATTTTAACCGTATACAATATACTATATAGTAATTCTTCTGTGCCTCATTTCCAAATTTGTAGTATGCCACTATTAAGGAGCCTACATTCTCAAATGTTTTATATGAATTGCTGCAATAAATACTTTTCTTTGCCTTTATTTCTATCAAAAAATTTATTAAGTAGGTACCCTTAATTATTGATGAGACAATTTTAAAAATCAACATGAGAACATTTGAATGATGTCAAAGGTTCTCAGATTGGACCTAGTGAGGGTATGTCCATTATGTGCTATCAAGAGTCCAATTTATTGGCATTGGACCTAGTGAGGTTAGGTCCAATATCTACGTTCGAGAGTATAGAATTTATTCTACTCTCTATTCAATAACTAATCCGGAGTTTTAAATATAAAAGTTAAAAAATACTTATATTTACCTTTTTCTTCCCGTTTTCTTAGTTTATTTTATATTAAAATAGTAGTATATATGTGTGTAATTTCAAAAACAAACGAAGAACTAATTAGACGAGGTGCGTAATATTTTCGTACCATCTAAATACTTAGGGTAAATTCAAAGCAAGAGGTTTTCAAATTCTACTTTTAGTATTATGCGTTAAAACTCCACAAGAATCTCTCTTTGTTCTGAGACTCTACTCTCAAAACTCTGTACGTATATCTTTCTTTTCCGTTTTCACCCTGTAAATAAAAGGACCTCCTTTTTTTTAAGTATTTGCTCAAACTGTGAGGTAAGTTCCAATTTTTATTTTTGAGAGTATAGAATTTATTCTACTCTCTATTCAATGACTAATATGGAGTTTTAAATATATAAGTTAAAAAACTCCTACATTTACCTTTTTCTACCCATTTTCTTAGTTTATTTTATTTATTAAAATAGTAATATATGTATGTGTAATTTCAAAGCAAACGAAGAACTAATTAGACGAGGAGCGTAATATTTTTGTACCGTCTAAATACTTGGGGCAAATTTAAAGCAAGAGGGTTTCCAAATTCTACTCTTAGTATTATGCGATAAAACTCCACAAGAATCTCTCTTTGTTCCTTCTCTCTTGAGACTCTCCTCTCAAAACTCTGTACGCATATCTTTCTTTTCTTTTTTCACTCTGTAAACAGAAGGACCTCCTTTTTTTGTTTTGTTTTTGTATTTGCTCAAACTGTGAGGTTAGTTCCAATATCTACTTTCGAGAGAATAGAATTTATACTACTCTCTATTCAATAACTAATCTGGAGTTTTAAATATAAAAGTTAAAAAACTCCTACATTTATCTTTCTTAGTTTATTTTATTAATTAAAATAGTAATATATGTGTGTGTAATTTCAAAAACAAATGAACTAAATAGATGAGGCGCGTAATATTTTCGTACCGTCTAAATACTTGGGGCAAATTCAAAGCAAGAGGGTTTCCAAATTCTACTCTCAGTATTATGCGTTAAAACTCCTCAAGAATCTCTCATTGTTCCTTCACTCTTGAGACTCTCCTCTTAAAACTTTGTACATATATCTTCCGTTTTCACTCTGTAAACAAAAGGACTTCCTTTTTCTTGGTTTTTGAATTTGCTCAAACTGTGAGATTAGGTCCAATGTCAACTTTCGAGAGTATAGAATTTATTCTACTCTCTATTCAACCACTATTCTGTAGTTTTAAATATAAAAGTTAAAAAACTCCTACATTAACCTTTTTCTTCCCATTTTTTAGTTTATTTTATTTATTAAAATAGTAATATATGTGTATGTAATTTCAAAAACAAATGAAGAACTAATTAGATGGGGCATGTAATATTTTCGTACCGTCTAAATACTTGGGGCAAATTCAAAGAAAGAGGGTTTCCAAATTCTACTCTCAGTGTCACGACCCGAAAACCACAAGTCGTGATGACACCTAACTCAATTTGCTAGGTAAGCCAACTAACAGAAAATACCATCCAAATGTGATTTAAAGGAGAAATAGTGAAGAATTTTCTGGATATTTACAAATTAACCAAAAACTAGTAGTACGACTTATGAGCTTCTAAGACTTGAAATTTACAAAGCTGGTACAAATAATTTCACGATCCGTTTGAAATTTACATAAACAGATTACCAAAATCTAAGCTACCAAGGACATGTGGTAGCTAAATCCGAAATGCACGAGCATCTTCAGAGTCAACACCCGACATCACAGCAGCTTTGCTCCAAAAATCTACACGCAATGTACATAAGTGTAGTATCAGTACAACCGACCTCATGTACTGGTAAGTATCTTGTCTAACCTCGTCGAAGTAGTGATGAGGTTTTTTAGTTTTAAAGATACTCACAGATAAAACCTGCACCGTAAATCAGCAATAGAACTACACCACGATATAACAAAGAAGAATACATGAAACGAATACACAAACAATAACCGAATACTAGCAGTGATCACAATTTAGCATCCTACAATACCTTGACCAATCCTTTCCTTAGAATGAAACCGATAAACCACAATAGTCACTTTATAACTTTCATAACATGAGGAATGTACTCAGATATCAAGTAAATTACACGGCAACACCCTTCGTGCTTTCATCTCATCCTCACCCAATATATGTATAACAGAACCAACCAGATGACAGAAATTACCGATGACAGGAATTACAAAGTAGGAAACACGCAAGTAGAAAGAATGAACGAGGATACACATTTGGGCCAACAGTAAAAGACTAGGTGGAAAGCATGCGAGTAATGACAGCAATTGGAAAACAAGGAATATCAACTTCAATTAACAAGCATGATGGAGGCTTGAGTACCGATATAACAAATGAGAAGGAAACACACGATCTTTACAAGTTAACAAGTAGAGGCATGAATGACTAACATAGAAAAATGGCTTGTACTAAAATGCAACAAAATAGACACGACATGGAGGTAATGATAACAACTGCAAATAGGCATGTGTTTGCAAATTAAGCAAGTAAAAGATATGGACAACACAACAATGATTGAAATAGAGAGCAAGGACAGAACAATAACAACAAGTCACACGAGGTCTATAAATACGATAATAACCGCTCAAGATAAAGACGTGAACATATATGCGAAAAATAGATATCACAATATAATGCATGTCCCTCATCCTCGCCTGCACGGAAACACCTATCGTGCCATGTTCTCACGATAATAAAAAAGCATAACAATATAAATGAAATGGCAGGGAATCACCCTTCGTGCTTTTACTCTCAAATGATGTGGCACGGCATCACCCTTCGTGCTTTTACTCTCAATAATATGGCACGGCATCACCCTTCATGCTTTTACTCTCAAATAATATGGAACGGCATCACCCTTCGTGTTTTACACTTTCCTTCACATGATAATGTATAAACAATGGCACGGCATTACCCTTCGTACTTTACACTCTTCCTTACCAAATATGTGTATATCAATGACAAACAAGACATGAAGCATAATAACATTAACGAGTGTGTTTAAACGAATATTCCGAACAAATCCCAAGCATAACTTTCCAAGCCAACGACAATTCAATAAATTCTCAAGAACCGTATTATTCAAGTACTTTCGCAAATCTCCCAAGAAGATCGGCTGTAGCAATGTATTAATGATTACGCATAGAGATGGCCGAATTAGACACATCAATGTATTCTTAGAATTCCGTCGAATTTGATCAAGTCATGATAAGCTAAGTCTTGATTTCTAACATTTAATACTATGTTCTTAGTATCTAAGAGTCAAGTAAGGCATGAAGCAGGAAGGTCTCGTAATTCTACAAACACAAATATAACATAATCTACCCCTCCCCTCCCCCCCAGCATGATTAACCCTGGCACATACATATACACTCGTTACCTCTCTCTCTCTCTCTCTCTCTCTNNATGTTGATCTTTTATAGTCCTTAGAGGCTCCGTAGACATTTACGTGGGTCATGTATGGGTGTCGGGATGGTTATTAGATCACATTGTATTTTTGAAACTCTTCCAGTAGATTGTCAACTGTATGCACCTTTGGAAACTTAATATGGCCTATGGCGTTTAAGTAACAAAGGACTAGTAACGTTTTCACATTTATATAACTGGTCTCTTCCCTGTTTAACAAATGGTAACACGTTCCCTTTTTGGTTCATGAATGAGTCGGGTAGGAA